TTCGTCGCATAGTATCAAAAGCAAGATGATAATATCTAACATATTGTAGAGGTAACGCGAATGCCTTCGTAGGCAAAGTCTCGTAGTTCGAATGCGCCTTTGAAATTTTGTTTTCTGCAAACAGAAATCTTTTGTTGACTTTTGTTTATTTGCCTACTTTTCAAGGTTTGCATTTTTTTTTATTTTTTTTTCTCTAAAAAAATTTGATTGTTCTTTGCAAATTTTTCTATATACTAGAACGCTAGCTATTGGCTTGAATTTCAAATTCAGTACTTCTAACAGTTAATTTTTAAATTGTTAAACAATTTAATTGAAATAGAAAACGAGAAATCCTAACAATCATTGTAATTTTAATTCAAACGATCCATAATTACCGAAAGCAAAATGTAAAAATACTGTTTTCCAATTTTTGTCTTTCTATTATTATATAAAACTGTTTTGTCAACTCTCAAACATTTTGAGCAATGATCTGAACCCAGTAGTTATGTGTTTCTATGCACGATTGACTATTTTCATGCCGCTCATTAAATTGAGTGAAATAGAAAATCTTCATTCACACACGCCTAAAAAATTCAAAATACCAAAGATTTTGAGCAAAATTGAGTGCTTGTGTCAGGAATGAACTTTGAATACTGCGGCGGATTTTTGAAAATTCTCAAAAAATTTCTGCTGAAAAATGTCGTTGAACAATTTTATTTCCAAAAATACTTAACTCACAATCAATATCAAGTATAAACAGTAGTATTTGGTTCCAAAAGTTTTGTTTGAAAGCATTAACTGCCTCTTTGTTCTAAGTTTTGTAATTATTAATTTTGGAGCTCGGTACAGAAAGTATTTTGAATATCCAAATCTTGCATATAAATGCGACTATTGAAAAGCTGTTAGTTTCCTAAATGCGACGTTTTTTGGGTCATTTTAAATCTTAGAAAAGTTGAAATTACGAAAACTAATTTTGGGAGCTGTCAGAGTACACTCAAAAGATTTGCGGCTTTTAATGAATTCTCAGAAATTCGAAGCTCCGGAGTTGTGTTACACTTAATTAATATGTAATACTACTAAAAACAGTTTCAAAAATAATTAGATGCTCAATTACAATAACGATTAGCAAGCATAATCAGATCGAATTTTTAACCTTTATTCAGGTTAAAGAAAATTTTTTGAATCAGTTCAAAATTCGTCGCATAGTATCAAAAGCAAGATGATAATATCTAACATATTGTAGAGGTAACGCGAATGCCTTCGTAGGCAAAGTCTCGTAGTTCGAATGCGCCTTTGAAATTTTGTTTTCTGCAAACAGAAATCTTTTGTTGACTTTTGTTTATTTGCCTACTTTTCAAGGTTTGCATTTTTTTTTTTTTTTCTTTAAAAAAATTTGATTGTTCTTTGCAAATTTTTCTATATACTAGAACGCTAGCTATTGGCTTGAATTTCAAATTCAGTACTTCTAACAGTTAATTTTTAAATTGTTAAACAATTTAATTGAAATAGAAAACGAGAAATCCTAACAATCATTGTAATTTTAATTCAAACGATCCATAATTACCGAAAGCAAAATGTAAAAATACTGTTTTCCAACTTTTGTCTTTCTATTATTATATAAAACTGTTTTGTCAACTCTCAAACATTTTGAGCAATGATCTGAACCCAGTAGTTATGTGTTTCTATGCACGATTGACTATTTTCATGCAGCTCATTAAATTGAGTGAAATAGAAAATCTTCATTCACACACGCCTAAAAAATTCAAAATACCAAAGATTTTGAGCAAAATTGAGTGCTTGTGTCAGGAATGAACTTTGAATACTGCGGCGGATTTTTGAAAATTCTCAAAAAATTTCTGCTGAAAAATGTCGTTGAACAATTGTATTTCCAAAAATACTTAACTCACAATCAATATCAAGTATAAACAGTAGTATTTGGTTCCAAAAGTTTTGTTTGAAAGCTTTAACTGCCTCTTTGTTCTAAGTTTTGTAATTATTAATTTTGGAGCTCGGTACAGAAAGTATTTTGAATATCCAAATCTTGCATATAAATGCGACTATTGAAAAGCTGTTAGTTTCCTAAATGCGACGTTTTTTGGGTCATTTTAAATCTTAGAAAAGTTGAAATTACGAAAACTAATTTTGGGAGCTGTCAGAGTACACTCAAAGGATTTGCGGCTTTTAATGAATTCTCAGAAATTCGAAGCTCCGGAGTTGTGTTACACTTAAGTAATATGTAATACTACTAAAAACAGTTTCAAAAATAACTAGATGCTGAATTACGATTGCGATTAGCAAGCATTATCAAATCAAAGTTTTGACCTTTATTCAGGTGACAAACCTGTTCAAGATTATTTTTTGTATCAACTAAACACTCGGTGCAACTACGGCTTAGCGTTTTTAGCAAATTCAGGAATAATTAAGATAACTCAAGTAATCATCATTGATATCATATTCAAGCCGTCGGTCGTGATTTAGGTTTTCCGACAAAAGTTTTTCAATCATATGTTAATTAAGTGGCTGCAAGTTCGATCATAGCAAAACCTGAATGTTTTGATATATCTAACTTTTTTGCTGCGGATAACTTCATCGGAACCGTGGTGCTACTTGCGTTGTGATCAGATTTTTTTTGTTTGATCTCGATTTTTTTCTCATAAACACTATCTTCTTTTAAAATCCACCGCATAAAACAAAAAACGTTCTTAAAGCAAAAAGTAACACCTCGTTACGATTATTATGTTTACTTTATTCCAATCCTAGTTGAAAAAATAGAACTTCTAGCCCTCTATAAAAACATAGCCTTAAAACAAGTGCTCTCCAATTCTATGATTGTTGAGTTTGTAATTTTTGAATTTATGAGATGCCTTTGATGTAGGTTTTTTTTTTACAATTTCGGGTCTTTAAGAGCTCTTCCGCAACTACTATAATTTGTAATTTTGTATTTAACTTAATGCTTACTGATACTCAAGCCTTATCAGTAATTATCAGAAAGTTAAAAATTAATTGATTTGATAGTTTTTCAGTTTCTGGATGTTTCAGAAATTTTACGCACGAATAATTACTTTTGTTTACTTTGTTTAACGTTTACCTTTATCTCCTAGAGAGGCGTTGTCATTTAAAACCTTCCGCAAAGTTTAATGCGCAAAAAAAAATTTCAGCTAAGATATTATTCCAACTTTTGAAGAAAATTACAGAATGTTTGTCATCGGTGTATTTTCTTGGGCTTTAACAAACTATTAAGCCGGTATCGTTTGTATCATCTATTGTATCAAATTTTTTTTAATGTCTCGAGTTCAAACTTGGAAAAACATCTCACCTCTAATTATTACTTTATTTTAAAAGTTTGGTTTTTTGGGGGTTTAAAAATGTCGAATAAAGATAATTGCGCGATACGCTGCGTAATAATACGGCGCTGATTCAAATTGTTCAGACAAAATGAGCTATTATGGAAACTTCAAATACGTTTTCTCAAATTGGGTCGAGATTAGATCAAAACTGAACAGCACAAAAGTTGCTTAGATTTTATCAGAGTCGATATGGTGCAATTTATTTTGCCAACTTCGGAACCAAACTTTTACCCCAAAAATGGGTCAATTTTGTTTTTTGTAGTCAAAATTCGAAAAACTGTTTAAACTAATGGGTTCATTGATAGAAAAAAAATTTATCAAACGAAGCCTAAGACACAATTCAACAAAGTTCTAGCAGGGTAAATCTTCGAAAGATCTGAATAAGATAATACATTTTCGCTTGACAGCCAAAAATGTTTATTTTTATTTCAGAAAACTCAAAATTTTTGCCTAAAATCAAATTTCAAAAGTTTTAGCGCAAACCTCTGGATTTTATTTTTCTAGAATTTTGTTAAGCTGTGTCAGAGGCTTCATTTAAAATAACTTTTCTATCAAGTAACCCGGTAGTTCTAGTAGTTTTTTGATTAATTAAGAAACACCAGAATGACCCATTTTTTATGTTTAGTTTTGGTTCCGAATTTGGCAAAAAAATTGCTCTATGATAATTCTGTTTAGTTCAAGTTACTTTTTTTTCTGCTCTTTTTTTGTCGAATCTCGACCCATTTTGAGAAATGCGTTTAATGCTTCCAGTGTTGTTCATTTTGTCAAATGATTCAAATAAGAACTGGAGCACTTAGGCGGCAATTTAAACCGGCTCGTTACTAATTGTCAATGATGATACTGCTGTTGATGATTTTTTTGTTTTTCTATCCAGGAAAAGTCTTAAAACTTGTTTTTTTTGCGGTTTGAACCATAATTTTATTTTAAATTCAGCAATTTTTTAATAGGAAAGCAAACTCCATTTTCGAACAGAAAAAGTGTAAAGGTCACAAAAAACGTGAGCGATCTCTAGTTTCGAATTCTAATTTATTTTTTCAAGTTTCCCAGTGGAATAAAAAATATACCTATTACTCCAATTTTCTCAAGTTTGTTTGATTTTGAGGCATCCGTTTACTGTGTACGGCGAAAAACAATGAAATTTACTTTTTACTGCTAAATTTACACTTAGATCCTATTCTGATTCTTATGTGCATACTATTTTACGCCGAACCTGTAGATTAAATGCAAAAAGAACAGTTTCAGTGAAGAATTATTTGATGAGATGATTACACAAACAATGCCTATGGCATATTCGACATCTTTTCGTCGGAGAAGTATTTTTTGCAAAATTACTTCTACATTTTTATCCCAGCAGCAAGTATATCCATTTAGTTTTGATTGGAATTTAACTAAAAAATAATAGTTTCTGTAGTTTGTAAATTTACCAACTCTAGGTTTGAATATTTTTTTTTCTACTGTTATACGAGAACATTTTTTTGTTATATCGGCTGAACCAAGTTATATTGAATACATTCAATGGCGATTAGTTTAAATGATTTTGCGTGGTTCAAGAGGGATCAAGTATTTTTGTGCATTTTATTTTGCAAAAAAATTGAATCTTTTTTCTTTTCAATATCGTGTAACGCAATGTTTTGATTGCATCGCAAGTGTTTTAAAGCTCCGCCTCGCCTCTGTGTTAATTATTGATTCCAATCAAACAATAATTTGTTAGCCTAATTAGTTTTCAGTAAGATTTGTTTTTATATTCTACGATGCTGTAAAAATGGTTATACTAATAAAGGTTCCATTTGAAAGTAGAGTTTTTAGTCTAAAAACAATAACATCTCTCCCTGTCATCAGAAAAGAAAAATTCAGTAGAATCGATATTTCAAGCGTTTATTTTGCTTGGGTCTTATTCGTCTTCTTCTTGGATTTCTTCACCACCGAACACGAACTGTGTGAGCATTCCATGTTTTGGCATCTTCATATTTTTCGGTTCATGGCCCCTCAAGTAGCGACAATTTTGCACCTGTTATCACAAAAATTATTAAATCTGAAGTATTGGTCTGATCCTGATTTATGTAACCATACATCGCACCATATTATTACATCGCACCGTAATAGGAAAATTAACGACAATTGAAGCCATTAAAATAACGCAACTTCAATAATTTTCCATCATTATTGCTCATTTTTCTATTACGGGAACAACATTCAATAATGATAATTTTAGTTTTAAGCCGGAAACTGGCAACCATAAATTCTATTAATTTGTATGTAGTGGGAAAAAACTAAAAAGGCATCATTGACGTCAAAACTATTTTGATGGTGTTTGAAAGTAAATTATGTGCGACGTATGATTATTCATTTTCCATACAAACCATATATGGATGTGTATGTTCCGCCGCATTATCTGCTGTGGTGGGCAACCCAGGATATAATACCTTAGGTATAGTATGAGTGAATACCCTCGACGGGTTTTCAGCGAGAGCGAGCAAAGTATACGATCAAGGTCCTTTTTTTCGCGCTCTTTCGGAATTAACTAGAATGGATAATGATCGAAATGGACAATCACAAATAATTTTTTTTTGAATTTTGAATTTATTTACCGAGTCGACAATGAATAGAAGTGATAATACGTTCAATTTAAATGTTTATCTAGTGGAATTAAAAATAATTAGAAAAGAGTTAACTGATTTTTATGTAGTCTTGTTTTCCGGTGTCCAGCAAATAATACAACAGCTGTTAAGACGACAACCGCTTGTGGGGGGATTTTAAGACGACGCTGCATACAAATTTTGCTGCTGTACTCTTGACAGAAATACTTTGCTTATTTCGATCAGCTCATTTTGCATGTCTTAACTCATAGTTGTCGTTCTAGTGTCACGTCGTCTTAATGCTATTAATGTCTCGAGTTCAAACTTGAAAAAACATCTCACCTCTAATTATTACTTTATTTTAAAAGTTTGGTTTTTGGGGGTTTAAAAATGTCGAATAAAGATAATTGCGCGATACGTTGCGTAATAATACGGAGCTGATTCAAATTATTCAGACAAAATCAGCTACAATGGAAAATTCAAATACGTTTTCTCAAATTGGGTCAAGATTAGACCAAAAGTGAACAGCACAAAAATTGCTTAGATTTTGTCAGTCATTATGGTGCAATTTATTTTGCCAACTTCGGAACCAAAATTTATTTTTTGACTGCTAAATTTGCACTTAGATCGTAATCTGATTCTTATGTGCATACTATTTTACGACGAACCTGTGGATTAAATGCAAAAAGAACAGTTTCAGTGAAGAGTTATTTGATGAGATGATTACACAAACAATGCCTATGTCATATTCGACATCTTTTCGTCGGAGAAGTATTTTTTCAAAATTACTTCTATATTTTTATCCCAGCAGCAAGTATATCCATTTAGTTTTTATTGGAATTTTTATAGTAACCTGAGCTATTTCCATTTAAATAAACTACTGCAAGTGCTTGCACACGTGATCTATAAAAGTTTTGCCAATTATTCTTATCGGAAAATATGCAACTAAAAGCGTTCAGACTCCCTCTGTGATCCCCCTTATGTTAAGACCGTATGAACAAATATTTAGCATGTTCAGACCGTTGGGAACAGAAGATGGTATGTTCAGACCATGTGGACCAAAAAACATTATGTTTAGACCGTGCGGACGGTAGAATCTGGTTTCAGACCTTGTGGACTAAAAGAATCAGGTTTCAGACCGTGAGGACCGAAGCAACCGGGTTCAGACGGTTTGAGCCGAAAGACTTGTGAATCAGACCGTGTTGGTAAAAAAATGTGGTTTTAGACCTTGTGAACCAAAAGATTTCAGAGCAAATTCGTGTGGACCATTTAATCCGGTTTATGACCTAAGGGTTCAAGAATAACTTGGGCTCAGAAAAAAAATTTTGTTTGGACCATAAGTATCTACCGAAATCTGTGGAAAATGTTGGGAAGTCAAGTTTCGGTTTCAAAATTCTGGAACCATCGAAAACCAGTTTCTTTATAGCAGTACAAGGCGGTCTAATTAAGTTTTGCATCAAGTCTTACTTTTTATTTGCTACTCATGCTCTAAAAATTTAAAACGAGAAAATACTGAGAATAAGGGCAATCCAGTAGGCTGCTCTAATTTGATTAAACATTTTTGTTCGGGTTTGCTCCAAGCTTTGTCGAATTGTTTTCATTTTGAGGTGTTTCTGAAAACCCGATAGACGACAGTCCCCATTGATTTTCCGTTTGTACTCTAAAGGGGTGCAGCCACCAAATAGTGCTGGTATCAGGGAGAATCTGGTACCAACTTAATTTGTGCTAGTTTGATGAGTCTGCGCTTACATTCAAAACCACAAACACCAAATTATTGTGCATCTGGTTTTTCATTGTAAACTGCAAATTTGGAAGTAATTTATTAGCCGACTCGAGGAATGCTTCACTATCACCAACAGAAAATCCCCAAATAAAACTAATTCAGGACATTATTTTTGAACGGTCGACCGTAATATTTTTCTCAAGAAGCTTTTGGCAAAAAAAGAATTTTTTTTAAAAGAACGAGTTCCGAAACGCGTGTTATTTGGGTTAAATCTTTTTTCGAAAAAAGCCCATAAACGGACATTTTGGGTTCTTTTTGTTATCAAGATTTTTCTGGTTATCAAAATTTGGTTTTTGGGGGTTTTAAAATGTCGAATAAGGATAATTGCGCGATACGTTGCATAATAATACGGAGCTGATTCAAATTATTCAGACAAAAAGCTACAATGGAAACTTCAAATACGTTTTCTCAAATTGGGCCGAGATTAGACCAAAAGTGAACAGCACAAAAGTTGCTTCGGTTTTATCAGAGTCATTATGGTGCAATTTATTTTGCCAACTTCGGAACCAAGTTTTTACCCCAAAAATGGGTCAATTTTGTTTTTTGTAGTCAAAATTCGAAAAACTATTCAAACTAATGAGTTAATTGATAGAAAAAAATTTATCAAACGAAGCCTGAGACACAATTCAACAAAGTTCTAGCAGGGTAAGTCTTCAAAAGATCTGAATAAGATAATACATTTTCGCTTGACAGCCAAAAAAATGTTGATTTTTATTGATAGTTAAATGTTGATAGTAGTTTTTTTAAATTAATTAAGAAACACCAGAATGACCCATTTTTTGGGTTAGGTTTTGGTTCCGAATTTGGCAAAAAAAGCTCTATGATAATTCTGTTTAATTCAAGTTACTTTTTTCTGCTCTTTTTTTGTCGAATCTCGACCCATTTTGAGAAATGCGTTTAATGCTTCCAGTGTTGTTCATTTTGTCCAAATGATTCAAATAAGCACTGGAGCACTTAGGCGGCGATTTAAACCGGTTTGATACTAAATGTCAATGATGATACTGCTGTTGATGATTGTTTTCGGTTTTTCTTTTCAGGAAAAGTCTTAAAACTTGTTTTTTTTGCGGTTTGACTCAGCAAGTTCAGCAATTTTTTTAATAGGAAAACAAACTCCATTTTCGAACAGTTAAAGTGTTAAGGTCACAAAAAACGTGGGCGATCTCTAGTTTCGAATTCTAATTTATTTTTTCAAGTTTCCCAGTGGAATAAAAAATATACCTATTACTCCAATTTTCTCAAGTTTGTTTGATTTTGAGGCATCCGTTTACTGGGTACAGCGAAAAACAATGAAATTTACTTTTTGACTGCTAAATTTGCACTTAGATCGTAATCTGATTCTTATGTGCATACTATTTTACGACGAACCTGTAGATTAAATGCAAAAAGAACAGTTTCAGTGAAGAGTTATTTGATGAGATGATTACACAAACAATGCCTATGTCATATTCGGCATCTTTTCGTCGGAGAAGTATTTTTTCAAAATAACTTCTATATTTTTATCCCAGTAAGTATATCCATTTAGTTTTTATTGGAATTTTTATAGTAACCTGAGCTATTTCCATTTAAATAAATTACTGCAAGCTGAAAACTCTATCTGCCCCTGACATGAATTATATTTTTATTACTGATTCTTAGAAAAATTGATATATTTCCGTGTCATTTCAAGCAAGCGATTTTATCAATTGTTTTTGCATGTATAACTATGTGCAGAAATAAGTTTTTTATGCTTCAAAGTTTTTTTATGCTTCAAATACATTTTGTGTCTGGCAACGTACCAGTAGAATTCGGTAAAAACCAAACTGCTTGCTTGATATGATTTGAGAATTTAAAAAAAAATCAGTATTTTTCATGAAATCCCATTTCGGTGACCAACCAGAAAATTTTTCTAAAGGCGCTTTTGGCGCTAAAACATACTAATTTCGAAGGTCAATGCGCGCCAAAAAAACAACGAAAATTTTTGGTCACAAAATTTACAAACAATGCCGGAGAATGGATTTTTAAGCTGCTTTTCAAAATCAATGGCGGCTTAAAAACAAGCCGCAAAAGAAATTCATTGTCATCTAAATCGAGATCAGTCACTCCGTACCTGTGTTGGCTTGAACAAAACACCCAGCGCAAGTTATGAAAAGTGTACAAAAATGAGATTTTCATATAATTTTTGTCGATAACTATTTTACTTTTGACAATAATTGAATTGTTTGTGCTTGGATTTTTATGCTAGTCGAGCTCATTTTGCATGTCTTAACTCATAGTTGTCGTTCTAGTGTCACGTCGTCTTAATGCTATTAATTTTGAATTAATAGATTATGAATTATTTGGGAATTAAATGACCCGAGGCATAAAAATTCAAATTTTCTTCGAAAGTCGGAATATTCATGCTTGGGGTGGTTTTTGTTCAACCAGGTTTTGGCGACCAAAATAATCGTTTCAATCAAAAAAAAATTAAACCCCATTGAAGATATTGACTCTTTAATTTTAAATCTGAAGAGATATTTTGCCTTTGATTATTTTGGAGTTCGATGAATTTTGGTGACTTGAAGGGCCGTTTTAGCGAGGACGCCGAAATTGTAACGGGACTTTCTTATGCGCACAGAATTATTTCGGACTACAAAATCGTTTTAATTTCAGAAATTGAGGCAAGCAAACTGGTCCTATTGATTTTGTTCTAATCAAACAATATCAACCATCGTTCTAATCGATGGTTGATATTGTTTTTTTTACCAACAGTTCGATACCGATTTATGGGCAGTCGAAACAATCAAGGTTTTGCCCTGATATGCGAGCAGGTTGACCTCTCTACTAACATAAAAATTTGAAAACTAGATAACTTTTGACTATCATAGTTCTCAGAAATACAAAACAACAATCACAATCTGTTCAAATTGAAATTTGCATGTCTGAAAAATAGAAAATTGAGAGATTGGTAAACTAAGCAATCAACAAGCAAAAGAAATTCATTGTCATCTAAATCGAGATCAGTCACTCCGTACCTGTGTTGGCTTGAACAAAACACCCAGCGCAAGTTATGAAAAGTGTACAAAAATGAGATTTTCATATAATTTTTGTCGATAACTATTTTAGTTTTGACAATAATTGAATTGTTTGTGCTTGGATTTTTATGCTAGTCGAGCGTTATGCTAAAAAAAAACACAATTAGTCTTGTTTTTCTGAGAAAATTGATTTTTGGTTCTGTTTAACTAAACTACCCGAAACTGAAGCTCACAGCAAAAACATAAGAAGCAAAAATTTGGAACCGACGGAATCATTATTTAAAAGAGCTCTCTGACAGTTTCTGGCTTGCTAACTTAAACTTTTAGGTAAGTTTGAAGCATATTTTGTCTGCAAAAGAAGCTTTTGCTTGCAACTTTTTGTGAAAGAGGTCGTCAGTTGCTACTTTTAGGTAATTTTAAGTAATTTTTCCAACGTTTGTCAACGTTTTATACCTGGTTCCAAGTATCCTCCTTTTTTTCGCCCTCGGGTGCAAATCCGAGTGCCCTCACCGCCTCCAGCAGATTCGCGAATTTTTTAGTGCTCGCAACATTATCCCGAATCGCTCTTTTTCGTTTCTTCTCCTCAATGATCTCAAGTCGTGCTCGGAACTCGTTGGCGATTCGGAGACAGATGTTTCGGAACCGAATCAGCAATCGTGCTTTTCGGTTCTCGGAGGCTGTGGCTCCGATTCCGTCGAACTGGTCGGCGGCATCTTCACCGACTATTTCAAGGACGGAGGCTCTGGGAACGTTTTTGCCCTCGGCGACTAGGCGTCGGTACTCTTTTTCTCGGCGCACGAGAAGGTTTCGTATTGATTGCGAATGCTCCATTTCTGAAAAAGATCTTTGCTTGATCTAGAACAGTTAGATTTTTAAATCAATAGCTCAACGCTCCTCGGTATAAGTTTTTAGAGAATACCAAAAAGACGCTATCGAATGGGCCACCAACATTTTTTTAAAGCTGGTAATAAGTTTTTTTAACTGGTAATATTCACAGTATTGCGTTTTTTTATTTTGCCAAACCATCCTCAGTTATAAGACAATGTGAGTTTCGCAAAGAGGAATCTCCGGTCAAATAGGGAGTCTTAAATATAGATCATTGCGTCCATGCCTTTTTGGTCTACGTGACCTTATACCATATACTTGTCAAAGAAAAATTGTGCTCGACAATTCAAATTTCTTTTGTGGTTTTTTCCACGAGATTTGGTCAAGAAAAAAATAAGATTTTTTCTTGAAAACACATGAACATTTTTTAGGAATTTAGCATCTTAAACTGATACCGCTTTGATGACAATGACTGACCCCTGATAGATAAGCGAATGTGTCTCTGCTTGTGTTGCTCTCTCTCCAGTTCAGGGAGTGCATTGTGGCCATCTGTCAGTTTTTTCACCAACTCCCCACTCTTTTTCTCCACCACACGCAACTTCTCATACTGACCTGCAGAAGGACACGGTTGAGTACACAGAAGTTGGAAACAGAAGTTGCAGCGTTAATGTTTCAACAGATGATGTGAACAAACATTTTACCTTCACATTTTGGTAGTCATTTTTTTGTGATTAGTTTAGATTCGTAGCTGAAATCTTGAAACATACTACTCAGTAGCATGCTTCAAAATTTCAGCTACGAATCCAAACTAATCACCACAGATGTCTTCGTTTGAATTGCCAAACAACGTCTGAAAAGGCTCGGTTAAAGCGTACCCGAGCCTTTTCAGACGTTGTTTGGCAATTCAAACAAAGCTTGTCATAGAGGCGCTCTGAATGCCATAAAAAACCTGTAAAATGCACAAAAAGCAAAGTGTTCAAAAGTATTCACTGGAAAAATAAAGATCTTAATTAGACCCTCACATAACTTTATTTTTCTACAAAAAAGGGTAGACTAATCATCTAAAAATTAAAATTCAACTCAGATTTTTTGATATTAATAAATTGTTTGATTAATTTTCAATCAATATAAGTCTAAGAACTAAGCAAAATTCTCGAGCTCACTCTTAAGTTAGCAGAAACTTATAAGAAGGCCTAGTCCGCAAAATTTACAGTTTTTGTGCCTTAAATACAACATTTTGCATATCTGTTACGAAATCAAATCCTTTCATAGAATTTCGTCTACCACATGAATTTCAGCCTTGAGTCCAAGAAGTAAAAAAAAACGACAAAAAATAGGAAGAAGGTATACGGTAAAAATAGGAAAAACTGTAAAAAGGAAAAACTGCCTAGTCCGCAAAAATAGGAAAAACTGTAAATTTTGCGGACTAGGCCTTTTTATAAGTTTCTGCTGCTAACTTAAGAGTGAGCTCGAAAACTTGCTTAGCTTTTGGACTTAGAAAAATCGAAATCACAAAAACAGTCATGGGTTACCGATTCAATCAAAAAAATCCTCAAAAACCGCGATCGGCTTTTCAGTAAGTGGGTACAAAATCCTACTGAATTGAATAAACTGAAATATTCTCAAGCTAGAAATTTAGCAACCAAGGTAATAAGAAATGAAAAAAGAGTTTATTACGACAAAAAAGTTGGAAATGGTAGAAATTCGAAAACGCTGTTCCAGGACTTTAATGAATTTTGCAAAAGAAACTCCAAAAACACGAGTTTTTTGGCTGCTGATGTTTTTAATGAATTTTTTGCCTCAATTGGCGAGAAACTGAGAAATCCTGAATTTGATTACAAACAAGCGTTGGGTTATGTAGATCGCATCGAAAAATCAATGGTTTTTTATGAAATTAACCGCAAGGAAATTGAAAATGCCATATACATGTTGAAAAACAAAGGTTCAAATGGTCATGATGGCATAAATAACAAAATTATAAAATTATCGCTGCCTGTAATTTCTGTAAGAATTTGCAGCCTTTTCAACCAATGCGTTAAGAGTGGTTATTTTCCTCAAGGCTTAAAAGTTGCAAAAGTTATTCTCATTTTTAAGGGAGGTTTAAAAGAATCTTTGGAAAATTATAGACCTATCAGTTTACTCAGTTCACTCAGCAAGATTTTTGAAAGGATAATATTCAATAGAATGTATAACTTTGCTAACAAGCAGAAGATTCTTTATGAAAAACAATTTGGATTTCAAAAAAAAAGTCATGCGTGGACGCATTAATCGAATTCACCGAATTTATTAGAGAGGGATGGGACAAAAAATTGGTTGGTCAATCAAGCCTTGTTGATCTCAAAAATGCATTTGATACCATAAATCATCATCTTCTTTTGGCAAAATTGGAAAAATACGGCTTTAGAGGCCGGATTCTTTGCCTTCTAAAAAATTACCTTACGAACCGGTTTCAATTTGTTCAAACTGATAATAAAATATCTTCTAGTCGCTCTATGTCATGTGGAGTACCGCAAGGGTCAGTTTTAGGTCCTTTTTTGTTTTTAATTTATATAAATGATCTTCCGAAAATTGCTAAAGGATCTGAGGTTGTTCTATTTGCTGATGATACTACAATATGCAATGCAGAAACAAATTGTTGCGATAACTTTGATAGTTCGTTAAATAAAGTGGATAGATGGTTCAAAACGAATGGACTTTGTGCCAATCCTGGTAAAACTCAAATAATGAAATTTGGTAGTAACTTTTCAAAAGATTACTTTGCTTTTGGTACTACAGTTCAAATTACAAATGTGTGTAAATATTTAGGCATTTTTGTTGAGATGAAACTTAGTTTCAAATTTCACATTGAACATGTGTGCAAAAAATTAACTAAATTTTGTGGCATTGTCTGGAAAGCTAGGTATCTTTTTTCTAAACAGCAGATGCTTCGCTTCTACAAAGCATATGTAAACCCTACAATCACTTATGGAATTTTAATATACGGCAATACATCCCAATCTCACCTTACCGAGATAATGAAACTACAAAAAAGAATCTTGAGAGCAATTTTTTTCAAACGTAGATATGAATCAATTAAGGAAATTATGGACGAAAACAATTTGCTTACTGTTTTTGATTTATACTTTTTTGAGATGTTTAAGTACTTGTTTATGGAATTGCGATCGGACAAAAAAAATGGTTTTCTGTCTCAGATTTACTCCCAAAAAAGTGAACCATGTACCAGGAGCAAAGCAAAAGGCGTAATTAAACTGGCAAAATTTTCTACTACCGCTAAACAGAGATCGCTTACAGTTAGAATTGTGCAGGCTTTTAACTATTTCAAACAAAATGACTTGATACCTGTTAATATACATGAAATGTCAGATATACATGAAATGTCAGTTAGTTGTTTGAGACTCTATAAACAGTTTTTTCAAATTTACCTAAAAGACAATCAGGACCTCTACAAACTGTTTTTTAATTTCGGCCCTTAATTTAATTTGTTTGTTGAGTTGATGCTGGCTGTCTTCTCTTTACTCTCCAGGATATCCTACTCGATGAGCAGTACTGCTCTTTAGGATCTCCCTCCAGGCATAATATATTGCTTTTGGCGTTGTATATGTAGCTGGTAAAGTAATTCAAATTTCAAATTTCAAAATACGGTCGTTTCATTGGTTGAGAATCATAAAAAAAAGCTTTTTCTGAGTGCTGTGACTGTAGCAATATGAAATTAAATTACTATTGCAATTGTAGTTCGGGCAACAAAGTGGGAAGACTTTTTGTTATCAGGTGTGCCCTGCTTTTTTATGTTCCGACCTCTTCACAAAGTCAAGTGAAGGAACTGTGGCGTATGATAGTTTGTTTTCTGACCAACTTTAGGTACCTCAAAGAAAGTGCCTAGAAGATCAAAATTGGTATCAGATTCAAAGCAGCTTCAGTTCTGATTCGGATTCCAAACTTCAACTGGTTTAGCTTCACGTGGTTTAGCTACGTGAAGCAAATATCAAGTTTCACGTGGTTTAGCTACTTATAGTTCTATTACATTTCACCTAGTTCACTAGTTGTTTTCGAAATAAAAGTAAGAAAAACTTTAGACAAAAACGAAAAAACAAAGTTTGAGTATGTTTTTTTTGGGAATTACTATTTTATTTTTGAATTTTGTTTCTTGGGCTATTATGGTTGGAATATTGTTTACTATCGTGGTTTGAATATTGAATTTTAATGCACAGCAACCTGCTATCCTGTTTTTTATTTTCAATTTTTTCCACGCGCAGTCAAACACCAGAAATAACGACCAGATGGGGTCGAGAGATGACATTGTAACCCTTTCAGTTGCATGAACAGCTAAAAAATTTAAGAACCAATCTAAAAAACTTAAGAATGTTTTGCAGGCGCGGATCTAAGAATTTCTCGATCTAGGAATTTTTCTGAAATTATTGACCTTTTTTTAGGTCGACCAAATTGATTTTCTGAGTCTGAGCTCTCCCATGTCACTATAAAGACCCTATATTGACCAATATTTTGCGCCGCAGTCAACGTTTTTGAAAAACAGGCCAAAAGAGGCGTTTTTATGTACTTTTTGGAAAATTTTGACCAAAAATCGCGTTTTTTCGGCGCGCGCTCCCCCTCAAAATTTAGTTTATTTTGGCACATGAGGCGCCTTTATAAAAAATTTAGGGTCAGTCAATTAAAAAGTGGATATCTCAAAATAGTACAAAAGGGGACCCTTTGGGTCGGCAGAGGGTCGAATCCCTGAGGGGGAGAGGGAACGTCCCCCCTAAATGCGCTGCTGATATAATTTTTTCAGTTATAAATCAAAAAACTTCTTTATTTTACTGGGCAAATTGTGCTACTATCCAAATCTGAAAGAATTTGCCACAGAAATTTTGTTAGAATAGTTAAGTTTTTTGCTGCAACTTTAGAAAAAAATTATCTTGCATTAATGATTTCATAATTGAAAATCTTTGTTTTTTCAGTAGCCTAAATTTCATAAATTTGGCTGATTTGTCCGTTGAGTATTATAGAATCAGTTACTTTATTTGAGTGTCATTAGTTGATGAAACAAATAGGTTAATAAAAATAAGACGAAGAACAACAAAAATAGGTTGAAGAGGTTTCTTTTCATCTTTTATTTTCGTTTCAATTTTTTTTTGCAACTGTGTTAACCCTATTGTTGTTTTTTTTTGAAAAAAAAAACTGTTCTTTATCAATCCATCAGGTTCAATTGATAATTTTTTTTGAACTGTCATGCCTAAATAAAAGATTAAGTTTCTCGAATATTTCTCGTGTTCTAGTTTTTCTTTTTTTATTGTTTTTTGGGCTTCTTTGTATAAGTTGCTTCACGAAAACTAGTTGGAAATAAAAACAGCTTTTGCTTTTTTAAAATTATTTTTTTTTAAATTGATTATTAATTTCCATTTTTTATGCTGCAGAATGTTAATATCTTGCAAAAAAGTGGTACTTTTTTGTACGCACCGTGGGTTTAAATTTCTTTGCATTTGAGGTGCTTGTGATGTATGATATAAATAACTATCAATCACAATTCCGATGCCGTTTCACTATGCCAAAAATTTGTGCCATAACGAAAAAAATTGGTCTGGTCTAATTTTTTTTGCCATTTTGGCCAACTTGTGATCATTAACGCGCCATATATTTCGCGTTATTAACGCGTAAGCGGAGATTTAATCCGTACTAGAAATCATTCCAATTTAGTTAAACGTAGCTTATTTGCCATAATTGATTTTTTACTAGAAGCGAAAATATCACTTTGTACTTTATATGGTGTGAGGGGACGATTTTCACAAAAACCTCAATTAAAAAAATCATTTTTTCTTCTACCATTAATTTTTCCTGTTGTTGCTGCTCCATATACCTTAAAAGGCAGTCGGAACATTCAGGGCTTCGCACTGATATGAGAACTCTTGTTGTTTTTTAGCCAGAGAAGTATTTCTGACATCGTTGTTGAATGACTTTTTTATTTAAAGCTAGCTAAAACCGGATCAGAAGCTGTTTTTGATATTTCACTGTGTAGTTGCTTTTTGCTCCGAGTTTGGGAGAAGCCAAGTTAATAAATGTGCTCCCTGCGGCTTTTTTTCCATACGACTTCTTAGTTCATAACAAAAATTATTTTAAGTGGATCTTATATCATTTCACTATTGTGATTTTCAAAAAAATTATGGGGGTTGGAAAATTGCAAAATTAGAACAGATGATATTGCGTGCAAAATTCTCAGGTTTCTGTTAAAACGTTAAGTAGCGTAGGCGAATTTTTCCCGCAATAGCCCCCAGCGTAGTAGTAAAGAATTTTAATTCAGTACAGTACAATTGAGGGGGCCAAAACTTCTTGATGGGTTAAAATCGCCGGCTCAAAGTGACCAATTAGTCTTGCATTACAAAGTACTATTTCATTGTGTACTCAAGTAGAATTATCGCTGCATAAAGGGGGATGATGTCGCTTTCGACTAATTTTCGTCTCACGGTGAAATCAATCAGGGAAGAAATATTTACCCATGAGTCGCTTGTAGCTTTCTCCATTTAGCACATTCAACTGCTTCTCGTCCAGATCTATCGGCCGAACGCACTTTCGACTTCGTCGCATCTTGTCCATTAGCTCCTTAGAAGGCGCCTGGTAGTTCCGAATCTGTTCCTCTATGTCTGCTTTGTAGCCATAGTGTTTCTGGTACAGGGCGGGGGTTGACATGGGCTTCCTTTTAACCTCGGGCATCTTGGCCGAATTAGCACTCGGCATAACGGCCCCCAATAAACTATTAGAAACTAATTCCCAGAAGTTATTTGATAGTAAATGATCTTTTCGTAGAAATCAAGGAATTACTGGTATTAATAATTCTTCAACATCTACCCCTACATATAAAATTCAACGAAATAAAAAACTCAACGGAATCATTTTTAGTTAATGCTCGCAAACTTCAAAATAATTAATAACTATATTGATTCAAAGCTTTTATTCAATACAATTCAAGTTCGTTTTTTTATTTTTGCAAAAAACTTTAGCAAATTCAATAAAAGTTTAAAAAATAATAATTTTGAAAGTATTACTGCAAAAGAAGTTTGGTATGCGAAAAATGACGCAAAATTGTGCGGTAACACGTATTCGAATTTTTTTAACATGCAATAATAATTTGCTTGAATCTCTGTTTGATATTGTACTTGGTACGTGATGAAAAAGCCAACAATTTTCTGGCTCAAATTACAACCAGCATGCATTTGAGAAGCGTTTATTGTGGTCTTCTTTGGACGGTGTGATGCTTGGCAATGACGCTAGAATTTATACGTGACACTTGAAAGGACATCAAAATTGTCTTATTTTGATGTTCGAGAGTTCAAAAATGCTTTAAGGGTCAAACTGACGAGCTCTTCAAAACACGAGCAGATTGATGCTACTCTCCTGTACACATAGCGTCCATTAGATGTTATTATATTCAATAACAAATAGTTTTTGATTTTTCAATCCGGTCGATCTCTCATTTACGCGCGTGTTCAGTTCAAGCCATTGCAGGTCGAGGTGTGGCTAGTCACTCAACTTGTATGCAAATATGCAAATGTAAGTCAATCAGTTAGCTAATTAGTATGAATTTTATACTTAATGGTACACTGCATAAACACATGTAATGAATACGGTATTATATGAGGCGTAACCGAACACAGTACGAACAAGACTGCTCGTATCAGGGCGAAACCCTGAATGATGAAATTTCAAAAAAATAGAAATCTTATTATTTTTAAACGATCTTCGCACACGCTAGCTATGTAAAGTGCAAAATGATATATTAAGAAAAAATTGAAAAGATCAAATAGCATGCCCCAATTCAATTTAAAATACAATTTAAAATACGGTTCAATATCCGCTTGCGCATTAATAGCACTAAATTTTTCGTGGTATAAAAGTCCCAACTTGGCAAAATTGGCAGTCTTTACACGCCCATGACTTGAACGAAAAGATCACTGATTGAATATCTCATTGATTTTTAGCTTCCAGACAACATTATTTTTTGAATGAATTAGAAAAAAACAGAAATCTAATTCACTTAATTCGCAGTTCAGTTTTTTTGTTTGCAAAAACTTCGCAGTTTTCAAAAACTTTGGTTAAGATATGTCGGTATGATTTTTTCCACACGACATTACAGGGTCAAACTGTGCACTGAATAGGCGCACAATTTAGTGTGTCTAGGTCTCTAAAATCTAGATACATGTTTTTGAACATGCTAAAATTTTCTTCGGAAATATCAAACAAACTAAAAGCTTCCCGGTATGACCGAAACTTCTTATCATACAATTTCCATATATGAGAAACTTCTTGTCATACAATTCCATACGTACAGAAAATTGTATGAAATCTCTATGATAAACATTTTTCCATTTATGAAAATTGTATGATATGTGTTTTTCCATAAACCAAAAAGTTTGATTTTTTCTTTTTAAATGTATTTTCTTAAAAATTTTTGGTTGTGTTCGCAACCGAACACAAGGAACAAAGACCTCGGTTACTCCAAGCACCAAAGATTGGACGGTCTTTGCATTTACAATGCATAGAACAGGACCTGAAATCGGCTGTCTTTCACAATTGATATACCAAAAGTAACAAACTTTTAATTTTTGGCAAAAATTTTCAATGGTGGTTATTTTAAATTTTTGAATTTTCAAATTATCAGACATTGATCAAGGCATATATAAACACCCCATTCAAAAGAAATAAGAATTTTCAGCGTTTTTTGAAAAAAAAAATTAAGTCAAAAGAAAATAAAAGCCAATATTATCGTATCCAGGACTACGTTATGCACACAAAAAATTAAATTTAAAGGTGTTTGTTTGCGTACGAAATTCGATTTGCGGTTGAAAAAAATCAAAAAAATTTTGGGCCAAATTTTCAAAATTACTTGAAAAATTTTTTGTGTCGCCATCAAAAAAATGCCAGTCTTACAATTTCCATATATGGGAATTGTATGATAAGCATTTTTTTCCAAAAAAACGAAAACCTTGGTTTTCTTTTACCAGACTGTTTTATTAGAATCAAACAGCCACAGAAATAAGTTTACATCTTTTTTCAACCATTTTTAGAAATTGTATGAAAATTGTATGACAAGCATTTTTCCACACACTTGATGTATGGAATTGTATGATAAGCATTTTCGGTGTATGGAGGTCAACCCGGGTTAAAAGAAAAACAAACGAAAGCGTCCTTTATACAGAACCAATTACAATTCTCAATCTACAAATTACTCAGTTTGGCCTCGTAATAGACGTTTATTATTTTTTAAACGTTTTCAATATAATTTACTGCGACTATCTTTTGTAGTAATTGAACATTGCGAGATTTGCTAAGTTGCAATAATTTTTAATGCGGGCAAACCTCCAAGTTGCTAATATGAACAGGTTGCCTAGGCGTCTTTTTTTAGTAGTAGCCCCAGCGTAGTAGCAAAGAAGTTACAGCCCCAACTCAAAACAGTTTAGTGTTACAGATGATTTAGATTTTCTGAGGAGTATGATGGGGAAAGGTCACGTAAACGATGAACTAATTTGGCTCAAAAATCAATTTAGTTTGAAATGAAGAAGTTAATTGATTCAAATACTGCACTACTTTTTCATCATGCATTGCACGTTTTTTTTTTCAATATTACTTGTCATCACTTGTGAGGGAAAATTCATAAACAAAGCAAAAATAAATTGTTTTTTTTTTCATGTATCATCGACGATCCTTTACATTTGATTGATTACGGGAACAATCACAAAATTGCCTTCACATGACTATTTTTGTTTGTTTTGCGTTCAAATGTATGTCAATTTTCACACCGGCGAAAACAATTGTCTTGTAGTTATATTTTTTCACCCTTAACAACTTTTCTTAGAAATCTCACTTGCTTTTCCTACTATTTCTTGTTTTTTTTGAAGCTTAACAACTTACAATTTTTTCCCAGTTGGCTTAGAGGTAACGCCGTTGCAGGTCGGTGGTTCGATTCCCGGACGGATTTTGTTTTCTTTTTCAGTACAAATGCAATTGATTTTTTTTCTGTAAGAAATTGAATTGTCGAACTTTGGCTCGACTGCTCAAGTTTTGTCGGCTTAGTTGCCAAATTATCAATTATTTTGTGCTTTAAGCAATTTTCATTGTTGTTGCAAATGCAAGTCTTGTTCAATGTAGTTTCAGGGGGACTTGAAACTTTTTAATTTTTAAAAAGTCTGTTTTTTTTTCAGCTCAACTGGTTTCTGTTCAAAGGTAGCCAGCCGGCTTTGTTGACAAGTGGTTTATTTTTCTAACGCTGTAAGCGAATTCCTTTGTAGTTGCAATAGCAAAAGTTATCGATTGTAGTTTCAAAGTGAGCATACATCTTATTTTTTTTTTAAAAACCATTTTTTTTCGGGTCAATTGTGTCTGCCCAAAGAGTTTCGGCTTGGTTCTTCTTCGTAAAATTGTTCCGTGTTAATTTAATATTCCAATTTCTGTCATGTTTGCCTAGAATGAACTTCGATTGGGAAATGTGAGAGTTTAAACTTTGATAGACCCAGCTTAATTTCATGGCTGACAGTTTTCACTTTTCAACTTTTTATATACTCTGAAGCCAAACTGTGCTTTTTGGGAAATTTTAGCAGAATCAGCAACAAAGAAGCTCCTTTTGTTATTCTTTTGTCCTTTCATTTTCTTTGATTGTTTGGACAAAATTTTGACATGTTTAAAGACTTGTCTATGGAATCCAGGAACATACACACAAAAATTGTGCGCCTATTCAGTGCACAGTTTGGCCTCGTATTGTATATTTTTTACTTCGTATAGTTTTTATGTTTGTTCTGTATCGCAAGTGATGCGAAGATCCGCTTCGCCTCTGTGTTGAAACATCCAATTTTCTAAAATTTTGAACGAAAACTTGCTATCCAGCCATAGATTGTATGTAACAGTGGCCCCTTTTGATTTCAAGTTTTCTCCTTTATGTTTTTCTTGCCGTTTGGTTGCCTTGTCTAATTCCTGTAGTAAATTGAGAGTACACCGTATGAACCACGAATTTCAAACCCGTCAGGCAAAAACTAAACCATGCTGATGTCATTTTTATTCTCAAGGAAAAAGTAACTTTATGATAAATTAAAGTAAAACTATTACAATGACTTTATATAGATAAACAAACATAATGAAATTTGCTATCCATTTTGCATTGAAGACATTTAAACATCAATTGCCTTGCATGATATGCGCGAATCTAAAAAATGCATCAACAGTAATAAATAGGAAAGAGGAACCAGTTCTACCATTTCCTCCTTTATTCGCCCTACCCAGTCTAACACGTTTGTGCAGCGGTAGGTTCTACATGGAATTATTCATGAAGTACTTCAAACATTTTCTCATACTTCTGATAGACGTTAATTTTATCCGGATGCAATTAGATGCATTTTACGTTTGTTCTGTATCGCAAGTGATGCGAAGATCCGCTTCGCCTCTGTGCTGAAACATCCAATTTTCTAAAATTTTGAACGAAAATTTGCTATTCAGCTATAGATCGTATGTAACATTGGCTCCTTTTGGTTTCAAATTTTCTCCTTTAGATCTTTCTTGCCGTTTAATTGCCTGTCTAATTCCTGTAGTTTTACATCTTCTCGACTCAGCGATCAACTGATGCCACAACCTGTTGTAATATTAACTCGAAGCACGAAGCCCAGATATCAAAAAGCAATATCCATTAAGGTGTTTTAAAAACCGCAGTAGAGTATTCTCTTGTTTCCAAACTCAAAGTTCACAGCGCACATCTGCAGCAAATAACGTAGAAGCTAATAGCCAGGGTGAGCCGAAGAGCAACGCAACAACTCTTCTGGCAGTCATCACGATTTACAGTTATCCACCCGAGTAAAAAGCTGATGGAACTAACTCAGTCTGCGATCGGCAACAACACAAGTCTAAGCCCTGTTGCAAAAATTATCTTCTCAAATTTATTGATAAAGGATAAATCTCAAAATTTATTGGACTGCTACGAAATCATTATCCAAAGTTTGAATAGGCAATCTCACTGGTGCCTAGATACGTTAAAAAACAATGTTTTGTCTGTTTTCATCAAGAAACTCGATAAAAAACAACTTGATAAAAAACGAACCGCAAAATTTTTCAAAAACCGTAGCGTTTTTCGGAATTTTATAATCTATGCCCACACGGCAGGCATCAACTCTAATATTTTGACCCAACCTGCGTGCTCAAAGCTTCATGTGCATTTACTAAGGATGAGAGAAAACCCGGCGTGCTGTCAGACCAGGAGTTCTACCGTGAAAGGCACATAACCTCTAACAACTACTCGTGGGTATCCAAAAACCTAGAAAATTCACTTTCAGCTTCAAGCCATGCGGGTTGTTAAAAGCGAGCACGAAATCAACAGCAATTTGAAACACTTAACCCTGAAGTTCAGGCAAAATACTACAAATCTTTGGGTGGAGCAGCAGAAACACCAACGATGACTTGTACTATAAGTAAATCAGCGCACTATAAAAGCAATTGTCTGGGTTTTTCGAAATTTTTTGTAGATCAAAGCTCAGAGTTGGTTAAGCATCATTAAAAATCTCTAGGCTAAGTCCAGCGATTTTTTTTGATGAAAGCCTAAGAAAACTTCATGCAGGTATAACATTGGCAAAGGACGCTCCAACCACTAAATCAGAAATCAATGAACGCGGCTTTTCGGTAACTAATTGGAGAGACAATCTTTAACGTTTTGAATCAACAATATGAGCATAATCAAAAATCAGTTAAACCAGTAGCATACTTGAAACTGTTTCAAAAATTTATTTCAAAAATGACATCAAACTGGCCTGCTTTGCCATACTCGGCAAATGCAGCAGCTGCTCAATAATTTTTATCAAGACAGCCAGAACACTTCAAAGAGTCTTATTAAAAAAACAGTTTTCCCTCCTGGTCCAGTTAAGTGTTGATTTATTTAACACTACCAACATGCGTTTTTCTACAATTGTTCTAGACAGTTTTTTTACAGTCAGCAACCAATTTGTCCGAGCTCAACAGAATCTGCTCAATCTACATACAACTTTGACGTGTCCAACTTCCTGATTTAACGCAAAATACAACATAATGCAAAATTAGCTAGGAAGGGTCGCATTTTGGATTTTACGGAGCATGATATTAGAAAACGTCTTGCAGGTATACCAACGCTGCAAAGAACATTCTAGGTTCAAATATCACTTTCCGATCAAACAAAAATTTAAAACGACTGATTATAATTTGTTTGAAAAATATCATCGTCACAGTTGACGCCAATTTTACAATACAAAAATTGGCATGAGGTTGAAGTAAGCATACACGAGGACAAGAAAACTGCCACAACCTTTGAAAATAACGAACAACCAATAATTTTCATGAAAACAAGCCTTGGTTCTCGTTGCAACAAAAAACTAATGTGAAAAATTGAGGTCAAAATGCCAACAGAACACCATGTAGCGAAAACGAAACTACAGAAACTATACAGAAACCATTTAAAGGGATCCAGAAACTTTGCAGCTACACGAAAAAGGCTTGGCAACAGACATCCAAAGCTACTAAGTCAAATCTGTGTACTTCCAAAATCCAATAATCTAATGATGAAAATTGTCACTGAATCGTATTGTGATTAACCCAAAAACGTAGGATAGCCAACGCTGCTGCGACTTCTGATCGAGTTTCTCAAATTTCCGGTCGTGAAACTGGACAAGACCAGGACCAAAAAATCAGGCCCAATATCCATCTTTGTTTCCTGGGAGTTTCTATATGGTTGACTCTCTTAGTTAATTCCCAACGAACCAATGAAACGCGAGACTCTATTTTGCAACTAAAACATGCTTCGAACCAGGCACAGTTCAAGTTAACCAAGTTCATTTCTAGTTCATGTGCTGCCATTTACTCCGTAGCTGGAGACGAAAAATCTACTACTGCTACAGTGCATCGGTCTCCTGGTTTCTAGCGCTCCGAGCAAAATGTTATACCGTGGCAAGTGTATTTGGGACACTAGGTAGATATTCTAGCACCATGTCCAACAAACTCGAGACTTTCCTACAAAATTTGTTGAAGATCGGCATTGGGTGGGATGAACCCGTTCCCAGTGATTTTCTTTCACTTATTATCAAGTTGGGTCGATCATTGCGAACAAGCCCATCCGGCCTTGAGCCCCAACTTAACAAACAGGGCTATTCATATCTACTTCTGGAATACAGGTCACTCGGGAATAGTTGCGTTTTTTTCTCATTGGCAGAACAAAGGTAGCCCAATTTGGACCAAGAAAGCTTATCAAAACTGGGATTACAAGCCAAGGTTGTGGGCACACAGTAATGCCAATTTGCAACAGATAAAATGCCAATGAACTACATTCCGTCCGCTACTGGATAGAAAGCTCAATTGTGCCAGCCTGGATTTCTTCAACTGGTGAACTGAAGTCTTACTGCAACAATCGGTTTAGTGAGACATTATAGCTCCACAAAATTGATCAATGACAGCACAACTTCTGGAGCAAAATTAGTTTTGTTCTTCTCTATCGGCAATCCCAACACACTGTTTGCAGCTAACTACAATTCGCTTTTTGGACTTAGATTAGCATTAAGACAAAGTCGGCACCATTGCTTTTCATGTAGAAGGTTTCGAGGCCCAGGTGTAAGCCATCTTTTGGTTGACTTGTGATCAACGCGCTTTAAGGACCCAAATGATGTATTTTTTATCTTCAAAAACACTGGTATCGAGTACTTATGGCCATTCTGCACCACTACTAAGGATTCAATTGAATACCTTTGCCTTTTCACAAGCTTCTCTAAATATGAGGCACACCTAGCAAATACTGTCAATTTTATCAAAGTTTAGTAAAACCTCTCGTTTTTTCTCAAATTGACTTGCTATCACTTGCCGTCACAAAAAGGGCAGAAAGTGGATGACGGCACTTTTTGACGTCGTGTATTGGAAACTGTTAGATTAGTACAATTGAAATAAATCGAATGGATCAGAACGTAGTTGCTCACGGGCGCCGATTAAACAGGTAGTGTTACCGGAAAATAATAGTTCTGCGATGTCCCTGAGAGGAATAGAGCGTTAAATTGCAACGCTCTATTGCTCTCAGGGGCAAACCTAATCGAACAGTTTTCAATACACGAGTAGTGCTTTAATCCCCCTTCCGCTCCCTTTTTGATGGCAAGTCGAAGCGGGTCGTTTTGATAAAAAACGAGAGGTTTTACTAAACTTTGGTGCCGATCGACTGTCTAGCATCGTCATTGTTACCCTTGTACTGAGGCAAAAACTCAAATCGTGTCCACTAACACATGTAAGCTAGGAATCAACGACAATTTTTTGCTACCGCCTTACCACTTTCTGATGGGTCATCTCGTCGTTTACAGACTCGCAGCAGCTTTCATTGAAGCACAGAATACCAAATTGCCCAACAAGTCCTGGAAGCGGGAGAAAGGTAGAACTAACAGCTTCTGGAAGGGTCTGAAGAAGTGGACGCTATCTGAGGATACACTCCAGAATGATACCACCTCTGGATACTTGAGGACTTGACCCCTCGAGGCATCTAGACATTAGGTCGGGTGTTCCAAGTTTTTACTGGCTCGGATTGCATCGCGATCGTGTAAACTCAAAATATCATTAAGTACCTGAGCAAGGCTACTGGTCAAACTTGCCGTACGAACCCCCTCCTTCTGAGGACATTTACAATATGAACTCTCTTTCATAAGAAACTTTCAGTTCTATGAACTTGCTCGTGACTAAAATGTCTTCCAAAATTCAAAAAGGCAACAAAAAAGACCATTAAGACTCTGAATCATCGTTGAGTCTTAATTAGCTGTTGTTTTGTATTTCAGAGAAATGCAGCAGTCAAGTTCTTGCTAGTTAAAACTTTTTCATATTTCAAACTCCTGTACTAGACGAGTTCTATGCTAGTCCAGCGGAACCAAACTCAAACACAAACGATCTGTGCATAAAATTTATTATATGAGGCAACTAATCAATAAAATGCAAACATCACGTTGGTTTAAAACTGCAACCACTAAATTGCTTGCACATATTCATGACTATAAAAAATTTCAGTTCTAATATTTGTGAAAACTCAGTTTTGTAGGCAAATTTAAACGTCGTCCCATTGGTTCTCATCCCCTTTTTGTTCTCTATCTCGGAGTGCCTGCAATTCCATGCTGCATTCCGTCCCACTACCATACCGGTCATCTGGCACAATTTCATGCCCTATTTCATCCACACACCAGACTTTGTCGGCCCATGTTTGAGTGGGCAAAAAATACCCCTCCTTGTCACACATTGGGATGTATGAACCGGGGTAGAATTGACCCACTGAAGGCTTTGAAGTGGTCGTCTTGCCTTCACTGGAAGGCAAGGAAATGATTGATTGATCGGAGTTTTTGTTGTCGTCAGTTTTTTCTAGTGTAACAGGAACTGCATTCAGTGCCTGAAATTTTACAATTAAATGGTTTGTCATGAATGATAAAAATTATTTATCTCCAATTTGAATATCAGTAGCGGATCCAGAGGGGGATTCTATTTCCTGAAGAATTCGATCCCCTGGCAACCCTTTGGTACTTTTTTACGACATCATTCAAATGTTTTCTTCGGGCATCTTCGATGGGCGCCAATAAGTATTAATTTTTAGGCAGCGCGCTACGGTCAAAACCCTCACTACGGTCGAAACCCTCACTACGGTCAAAACCCTCGGTAGGGCAGCGCGCTACGGTACATTTTGGTCAAAACCCTCGCCAGCTTCGCAAAAAAAATTCTCGGAAAAGAGTTTTTAAAGGACTTTGGGAGAGCTCAGAAAATCAATTCGGCCGGCGTACAAAAATATCGCATTTTCATCACATTTTTTACAGTTTGGTTATTGCTTAATTTTTTTAAATGAAATTTACTCTATCTTGGAGGCCTGGGTCTCCATTATACTATCTGTATTTCCTACCTTGAAGCAAGGGGGTCTATTGTCTTGCATGCAGTAACACCACTCGTTCACAGACAACATGCCGTTGCCATTTCGGTCACACCTGGTCACTAACCCCACCACACAGGGGTCATTGAAGGTCAAGTACAAGTCAATGAGTTCAGCTTCTTCCAGGAACCCACTCTGGTTCAGATCCATCACTGAGTAGCCCCATAGGGTCGCGTAGGGACACTAAATGAAAAGGTACCAAAAGTGAATCGCATTAAATAGATATGGTTATAATTTTTGCTTTTTAAAATCAGGGCTCTTTTTCTTCCCCCTGTGATAAGGAAAGGAATTGTACAACTCAGGTTCAAAACAATTCTGTTTAAAAGAATTAATTTAATCTTTGAAAGCTAGTTTTCTTTTCTATGGTTCCAAGAACCAGCTCAAAGACCGTATCATTATGTACGTGAGCTTAAGATAAATAATAATGAAGTCAAACGATCATCAACATCCAATGACCTTGGTAAAAAGATAATAACGATATAACTGCATAATTATAAATAAAAATATAGGTCCCAAGGTCAGTGATCAAAGAGAACAACAATTACTATTGCACTTGCAGTAAGTGCCGTACCACACTCCCCCTGGGATAGCTAAATTTTATATACTACATTTAATTAGTTTTGAAAGTTCAACACATTTTTCTCTTTCTTGTCTGTCTGTCATTCTTTTCTCACTTCTTCGGACTGTCGTTATCAAAATTTAATGGAACTCGCCATGAAGCGTTTCAGCTTTTTGAAAAATCTAACGCCTCACTCCCAAATTTGCGCCTAAACAAATGTTTTTCCAAAAGTCCCAATTTGCTTTTCTTGTTTTTCCAAAAGTCCCAATTTGCTTTCCTCTGGTTTGTTTACATCTGAACGAAAGTTAGCTAATTTGATACGATATGCTTCAAGAGCTGCCATGTTGAGGTCTACAAGATCTTCTTCCGACGTAACCAATTTCACTGAGTGCTTGAAGGGAAACCTTTTGAAACGCTTGAATAGTGTGCTTACTCTGCTCAAATTTTATGGCCCCTTTTAGAACTTCATCTGAAGTTTCAAACGTCAGTGTGTCTTGTAATGCTGTATTCCTCATTCTAGATATAAAGAGATCTCTAACTAACTCTTCCTCTAGACCGCCCAGTTCGTCCGTAGCTGCTTGTGCAGTAAGTGCCGCGTGAAATGATTCCAACGACTCACCGTGTTCTAGTGCTCATTGAAAAGCCTATATCGTTCGTAAGTTATGTTCCTTATTTTTTCAAATGATGCCTTTGCCATTGCCACCATTTCTCTGAATTCGAGTTTTGACTCTTCCGCATGAGGGTTCTTTTGTACGAATTTCTTTTTCCCCTCCGTACCTAGTGCCAGCAATAGACGAGACGTAAGTCTTTTCTGAACCTCATTGTAGAACACATTTTTCGTCCTACTTTAGGTCCACGTTCTCTTCTTTCTTCATTTTCTTGTATCACTTTGTCTCTCCTAAGCCTATCTCTGTTTTCCCGATCCGCTACTGCTTGAGCAGTTTCTGTTTCTCTCGGTGTTTCTGGGCAAGGCATGGGTTCATCTACCACTTCCTTAGGTTCTTCTAATATTATTTCCGGATTCACATTTTCTTTCACAGTCACACCTAATATAAATTGATCCAACCAAATTTTGAAATTCCACGGTAGATCCGAACTAGCCGACGTCCAGAATACTGAAATACCCATGTCAGTGCGATTATCCTGTGCCAGAAACCCTACTGGCTGCGCCATGTGATAAAGAAAGGAATTGTACAACTCAGATTCAAAACAATTCTGTTTCAAAGAATTAATTTAATCTTTGAAAGTTAGTTTTCTTTTCTATGGTTCCATGAACCAGCTCAAAGACCGTATCATTATGTACTTGAGCTTAAGATAAATAATAATGAAGTCAAACGATCATCAGTTATTTAAGAGCTACCAAATTGATTTTCTGAGCTCACACAAATCCTCATAAAAAATTTTTTCGACCAAAATTTCTGCGCCGCGTTTTTAGTCCCGCGTTTTTTGGAGAATTTGACAAAAAAATTGCGTTTTACGCCGCGCGTTCCCCCTCAAAATTATTATATACGTTGATCAAAGTTTTCCAAACAAAAAACACTCAAACACGAAGAAGTTCAAATCAGAAAAATTAACTACGAGAAAGAAAAATTTGAAATAAGGGCCTTATTTCAATTTTTTTTCTGGTAGTTACTTTTTTCTGATTTGAGCTTCTTCGTTTTTGAGTGTTTTTTTTTGGAAATTACAATTCAAGTATCAGCTCGAAAACTGGTGATTTTTGGCGCCAAAGGCTACTTCGAAAAATCAGGATTTGCGAAACCAAAAATTAATATTGATATTGTAAAATAGTTAAATAGTTTCAGGGAAAAGGCTTTCAGGAGCGGATCGAGCGTTTTCTCGAGGGGGTGGGCAGATTTTTTTTATTTCCAAAAGTTATGTTGAACTATTTTTTAGGTTGACTAAATTGATTTTCCGAGATCTGCCAAAGCACTAAGAAGGCTCTGTTAAGGTCAATTTTCTTAGGCTTGCATTTTGAGGCAATTTTTGGAAAAATTTTACCAAAAAATTGCGTTTTTTTTGGCGCGCTCTCCCCCCTCAAAACTAGTTTTGGCGCCAAAGGCGCCATTAGATAAATTTTAGGGTCAGTCAGCGAAAAATGGGTGTCTCAAAATGGCCAACCCCCCCCCCCCCCTAAATCCGCCCTAAATACGGCATTCTTTGATCCAAATTTTGAAAAGTCTGCAATTTTTTGGCAAAACTTTGGCAAATCCAACATCAGTGAAGATCCTAGATATAAATTACAGAAAATGGACAAAGATCACTGTAAATGTTTTACTTGTTGATGAGCATAACTCAAGAGCAACTTCGGAGAATCTTTTGAGGAAGCGAGCAGCTCGGAGAAGTCATCCGAGCTCCTCTCGTGAAAATACGCCGCCACTTTCTCTTTCGTCTCTTCCGCATCACAATGACGAGCAGTCGTTTCTGATTGTTCAAAACTACAAGGACAGTCGTTGTGACAAACGGCGTATAGTTCTAAGCCGTGAAGACAGTTTTCACGTTCCATTTCACAATGAGAAGCGAAGTTTTCTCCATTCGAAGCGCAAACAGGGTCAGAATTTGTGCAATTAAAATCGCAGCTCGAGTCAATTTCGGCAACTAATTTTCGACATTCACCAATCATGCATTTCTGTCCGTCGGCGCAAAGATTGACTTTATCGCATTCGATATTTAGAGATGCCGAGTATTCAATTTTGCGCCCAAAAACCGAGTTTAGGACAAGAATAATCGTTACATAAAAAAGACCCGTGTTTCTATCTCTGAGAATGCAAGACATTCTGATATAGAAACGTTTAGTTGAATAAAATTTGACAAGTAGTTTACTAAATAATGCAAACCAGCTGAATTGTGAAATTTAGTTTAAGTGTATTTCGATTCCCTTTTATAGCACCACAGTTTATTTCATTTTCCAGGGAAACCAATGGTTCACGAAAACCGAAGTTTGGTTACAATATTGTTTATTCAATGGTGTGAACATGTCTTTATAAAGTAATATAAAATCGCGTGGGTTCTTCAAATCAGTCAGAGTAAAGCTTGTAACGCAGAAGTCGATTTATGGGCCCAATTTTGCCGTTTCAGCGGCATTGTGACCTTAACCGATTTAAATCTTCTTCTGCTCAGATCTTCTTGATTATGGTAAGGTGAACTGGAAGAAAAAACATAAGAATTGAAAATAATAAACTGGCTGCAACAGTTCTGCGCTATGATTTACCTTTATTCAATTGCGTTATATTCAATTAATTATTTGTAAAGTAGCAAAAACATAGGAAAAAAATCAATGCAACTAAAATTTTCGAGTATTTAAACCAGAAGCATCAATCAGCTATTGCATTTAGATTCTAAACGCAAAAGCGATTGATTGCACATTCAAAAATGATGGAAAATTGGTAATATGTTAGCAAATTTACGTTTTGACAAATTTATAAAGATGATGTTTTAGATTTTGCTGAGCAAGATAACTGAAATTTCCTTTCTTCACTTTCAAATCTTTTCTGAAAGTTCTTTTCTTCAGATCTGAACAGCTATAAAAACACAAAGTCGAGTGGCGCCCTCGACCATTCCTCTTTCCCTCACGTTGGCAGGCTTGAGCGACTCATTTCGATATTAAAAGGAGCGTTCTTACAAAACTCGGCTCCGATCGGTTTTCTGGAGTTTGCTGAGCAAGTAAAATTCCAACCAACGTCATGTTAGCAAAAAACGTTCTAAAATACTTTTAAAAGAAACGTTTCAATCTCAACGGTTGGTGAGCAGTGATTCATACTGTTTCACTGTCATCTCTACCTAAAGTCACAAGATTATTACAGGGAAAACTTTATGTAAAAGTTTTCATTTTGGTTTAAGCAAAGGACTTTATTGTGATATATATCCGATATCAGTATTCTGCATCCAATAAAAGGCGGTACGCATTCTGCTTTTAAAAAAAAGTTGGTACTTTAGCTCTTTTACACTCCTTAGAAACAGATAAAAACAGATAAAAAAGATACACATGGTACAAATGAGTTTGATTCAATAGAAAAATAAAACTTCTAAAATTTATCTACTTGAGGTTAATTGTATAATCAGATTAATTTTGACTATCTAATTGAAATTTTTCAACTACAGAATTTTTAAACTAAGAAAACATGAAGAAAGATGGAAGTTGCAAAGGCTAAATACTTAGGCTACGAATATCATTCCGCACTCAAAAATATTCCAGAATAATTTAAGGCAAGTTGAAAGATACTATAAATTCCGTATACGACTGAAGTCTAAAGCCCATCGAAAAACTTTGGAAGCTGACAAAATGACTATCCAGTTCAAATTTGTAGTTTATCGATTTGTTTTGCTGAAAAAATTCGAGGCCAGCAAGGGGCTGTCAGAACACTCAGCGCTTCGCTCTGAACAAAATAGTTTGGGGCATATGTGAAGTACGCATAACCTTGCGAAAGACAACTAGAGCAGTGGATTATAATGCCGAATAGAGCAAAGAAGGAGGGAATCGATCAGAAAATTTTTTTAAAAAGAGGTTACTCGAAAAAATGTTGATATATGATACAAACACAAAAAAATATCTAAGTTGTCTCGATTGAGCTTCATAAACATCGTTAAGTAAGCCTTGATAATCTTTTAGCAAGCAAGAACCAAGTCGACAAAATATTATTAGAAAATTTTGTTCTCAATTTCTGATTTAATCTATTTTTTAATTGAAAGTTTTTCTGTAATTTGTTAAGTTATCTGTCTTTCTGAATCAATTTCTTCACTTGTTTTTAGATTTTGTTTTTTACAGCCCAAGTTAAATCGCATACTTTTTTTTGCGTACTTGGAACATGTAAATTGAAACCCATCCTCCTTGAAACAACCGAAAACTGAAAATATAGTTTTTTTTACCAAGTAAGCAAGAAGACTGTTTTTCCAAGTATGCGATTTAACTTGGGCTGTGAAAAACAAAATCTAAAAACAAGTGAAGAAATTGATTCAGAAAGAAAGATAATTTTACAAATTACAGAAAAACTTTCAATCAAAAAATAGAATAAATCAGAAAAAAATTTTTTTGATCTGAGAAGTATGCCGATAGAAAAACTAACTAAATATTCCATTTTGCAAAAAAAAACGAAGTTTAGGATGAAAGCCATGAATCTGAAACATTTGACATTTCTAATGTAAGCTTAACTGAAAACAATAATTACTACCTAAAACGTTTGAATGTTTTGCTCGAAATTCTAAAATTTTAGGCTTGGTAGAGCTCTGCAGAAAAGAAAAAAATCGTCAAAAAAATATCCGGTTTATCGTATATGCAAAATAAACCCTATTTGAGTGTATCTCAAGCTACCCAAGACACAATTGTTGAACAACAATCCCTTGAAACTAAAAGACTACCCGTTTACCTTAAAAGTAGTACGGAATACTAAAAAAAACTGATTCAATTTTTGAAGTTCAAGAATAAAGAAAATTTGTACCAAAAATTGCGTTATTTTTGGCGCTCTCTCCCCCCTCAAAACTAGTTTTGACTCCAAAATCGCCGTTACAAGAATTTTAGGGTCAGTCAGCCAAAAATGGATATCTCAAAGTAGTACAAAAGGGGGACCCTTTCGTGTCGGCAGGGGGTCGAATCTGTAAGGGGAAGGGCGTCCCCCCCCAAATCTGCCTTGCAAAAGTAAGGCATTTTTTAATCAAAAATTTGAAAAGCCTAAAACTTTTTGACAGAAGTTTTGCAAATCCAACATCAGTTAAGATCCTATTCATAAATTACAAAAAAATTGTACAAAAACATCAGTGTAAATGTCTTGCTTGTTGATGAGCATAACTCAAGAGCAATTTCGGGGAATCTTTCGAGGAAGCGAGCAGTTCAGAGAAGTCATCTGAGCTCCTCTCGTAAAAATACGCCGCCACTTTCTCTTTCGTCTGTTACGCATCACTATGAAGAGCATCGAAAAAATTGGAAGCTAAAATTTTAGGCTTGATGTAAGCAAACAGTCTTTTTGCTTACTTGCTAAAAAAAAATATTTTCAGTTTTCGAGTGTTTCAAGGAGGATGGGTT